ATATATATATATATATATATATATATCGTTATATTGCACTAGTATCAATGTGCGAGCTGCGAATAAAATAATAATGGAGAAATTGCGTGAACCTTGTCGAAGGCGTAAGGCCTGTGAACGCGTGGCTCCTTTTTCTGTTGTTGATTGTTAGAGACCTCCATCGCGATCGAGGCGGCCTTCTGCGACGCTGGCAGGAGCTGTGGCGATATCGATGGCGGAGGGGGCTGGGGAGTTGGGCCGGAGACGGGTCTACCCGAACTCCATGGGGCTCTAGCCCCATCCCATCACTCCAGTCACCCCCGCACGCCCACTGAAATTTTTAACAAATTATTCCTTTCATATATATTGCGCATTGTACACGTAAACGTATATTCCATACATTTATATTACATGCATATCTGATACATAGATTTCTCGAATCCAAACTCGATCCAGTAAGTAAGGCTACACTCGCACTAAGTATTCAGTATTGCCACCTAATATTTCAACTTTGTCCGTATATATACATAGGCTGGTGACTCTGTGGAGGTGTAGTTGCTGTAGGTCAGCAACTGGGTCAACCTATAGTTCGTCAACCATGATGATTAGTAGAAAGAAAGAATCGTAGAGACAAACTTTCCACCGTTCGACCAGCCCTACGTACATATGCTGCAATCTTTCTTTTTTACAAATACACTCTATCGGTGTATCGTACGCTGTGTATATTTCTAATCTCTTTTTTCTTTCCTTCGTTTAGCTTAATTAGCTGAATTAGCTGATCGTTGATTCGATTGATTGAACTTTGAACTTCAAAATCACTTTGCATACTTATTTTTCATCGTCTCTTCTCCGATAATAAATATGCACGAGTGTTACAATTGTGGCAATTAATCGATTATTATTGATAAAAACGTGAATAGATGGATTTATCTTGGAAAAATCGAGATAAAGGTTAACAATAAAGAGGCTAAAATGAAGAGAGTCAAAGACGGTTAGAAACGGTGAGAAACGTTGGAACAGAATTAGAAATAGAACGTTGGAAAACGTTACGAGAATAATAATATATATCTACGTACATCGTACACCGT